ACCGGAGCCCAGCATACTGTCGCCGGAGTACCTGCGTGTACGCGGTAGTGGTGGTGGTGGTGACGCTGTCTCGACAACAGGAGTGCGCATTTTTCATGCTGCTGCTTGGTTTTTTCCATCCTTGGTCTGCCTGTTTTTGAAGGCTTAATTTATCAAATTATTTATTTATTTATTTTCTATTTATTTGTTTATTCATTTATTTATATTTATTAACTTATAATAAATAAAATTAAAACAAATATTTTGATTAATATAGGCTCTTTTTTAAATTCATGGTCCTACCTTTTTTCGGCGCCTTGAGACGATTTTATTGTGGAAGGCGCACTACAAATATCCCACCATTACCATTACCATTACCAATTCAATTTGGCCAGTGAAGAAAATTAAAATAAACATAAAAGTAATAAAAGTTCGATATTTAAAACATAATAAAAGTTCGATGAATATACTTTTTCAATAAAGTGAAGACAAAAATGCAATCCTTTGGTAATGTGCACGGGGTGGTTTGAAAATGAGCAAGATGATGTACTCATGGATGGAATGAGTGCCAAAAATTGATCACTGGGTACTTTTCGTGATCCTGTTTTTCACTGTTATTATAACCATAGAGAAAATAGAACATTTTCTCTATGTTATAATATAAGCGCGTTATGATTTACACTCTATCTCATATTTTAAATTAAACCCTGTAAACAGAACTATAAGAAAAACTCCCAAGATTGGTATTCTTATTAGCTCTGTTAATTTAATATAGCAGCGCAGACGAAGTAAAAACTTTACCTCCATAGACATGTTGAAAAAGACTGCATAGTCCTGCAGATGCCTGATTTATGACCCATGGCAGAAGAAGCCCATTGATAAATCATAGAGGTAAGCACAACCAAATGTACATTATTTTGCACACGTCCACGGCATTGGGTTTATCGTCAATAACATTCGTAAGCCTGCTTACTTTACATGATAACAGCTAATGAACCAAAAAACAGTGCTTATAAAAATACATTTCGATTGTCCTGCAAACAATTCAAGTCATACAGGACTCTATACCGCCAAAGTTCTGTCTCTGTATTGTTCTTGATCATTGTGTTTCGTCAGTAGCCTTCTTTTCAAATCATACAATGCATCACCTCGAATTTTGTGCCGCTGTTCCGTCTCTGTACTTTGTTCCGTGATTAGTTAATAGCATTTATTACTTTACATTAGTAATAAAAAGTTGATGTATCAACAAACAGTGCTCATAGAAATACATTTCGCTAGTCCTACATGCGTAGGCCTGCTGTGTGTGTGTGTGTGTGGGTGTGGGGGGGGGGGGGTGTGGAAAACTTTGACTGACGACTGTGAACTGATGACAGATCCACACAGAAATTTCCCGCCACCCAATTGGGTCCGACCGCTGGTGTAGGCCTGTACAATTTAAAAGTAGGCCCCTATAATTTTAATTGCAAATAGACCTATTTTAGCTGAAAGAGTTTCACCCAGATGTATAATGATTGCTTTCAACTCGGCTGAGATTATCCTTGGCCCGTCAGATCAACTCTAAAAATAATTTGGCCCTTCAAACGAATTGATTAAGAACCAGGCCATAGACCCTGTTACAATTAAAGTAAGTAGCCTAGGCTGGCCCTGTTATGATAACTGCACTAAATCACGAAATGGAGCAGCGCTGCCGCTTTCGATACTATCATGGCAAAATTGTAGGGACTTTTTTTTAGTTTACATTTTGTGGTAAATTGGTTTTTAAATGTATATCATTTGGAATTTGCCTTTTCATAGCGAACACAGAAATTAGCCAGTATGTGATACACTTTCTGTTTACGGTGGAAATCTCGTCAGATTGAAGTTCTTTTCACAATCTCGATCGCGTTTAAAACGGAAAATTCTAGCGCATGCGTAGAAGCAACGTAATTTTGGGCACGGTGGCTCAAGGTTGGCAGGGCTTGTTTCCGAAAGGGCCAAATGCGATGACGACAATGATGATGATGATGACGGATGGTGGAATGATGATGACTTATGCAGTGGCATGGCTTGAGGGCTCCATTCATGTTTGGTGAACAATTTTTTGTTGGCACCTGGATGCGTTCAGGAAATAGATGCTGGCAACCTGTAGAGCTGCTACTTCACCCCACCTCCGCTCCACCATAGTTGGGCCTGAGCAGCGGTGGCTCCACAAATTGGCCGACAAGTAATCCGATGTGTCTGACTGAGGGGTCCGAACCAAGGCGACGAAGCCGTATAAAAAAAATCCCTGTTGGGTTCATGGGAGGAGTTTTCATTGCTTAA